AATATATATATATATATTCGGAACAAAGTTAAACGATGCACAACAAAGTCTTCACACTATAGAGATTACAAGCATATCATAAACACTATTTATATATAGTTATTTTCTTCTTGTCAAAAGTCCACTTAAGCCTATTCAATTACATTAGAATTTCAGTTGACAAGTCGAACTATCTTCTCTATATTATTGTCGTACTAGTTTTCTGTGTGGGATTCATTTACAGTTGTGGCGCAAGTTAACGTAATTCGTTTGGTCTTCTTTCTTCTGAAGACCCTCTGTTCCTTTTGTCAGCCCCCCAGTGGTACAGCGGTATGTCTGCGGACTTACAATGCTAGAATCCGAGTTTCGATACCTGTGGTGGGCAGAGCACAGATAACCCATTGTGTAGCTTTGTGCTTAATTACAAATAATCCTTTTGTCAAAGTGTATCCAAGCTGATTCAATTACTTTGGAACCACGCTTTGACAGAATAAAATCATCCTTCTTATTTTTTTATACTGTTAGTTTCACTCTAACATATTAAACTTAGGCCTATTACTTTTATGTTACTTAACTTCACACCAACTATATTTCTTTGTTTTTATCTGGCTAATACTGTCTGTCTGCTGCTTCCCACTCGTCTCATGCTATTTATATCTTTATGACATAATCGTCTGGCCACTTTCTATCTTTTCGATACCAATTAGTTATTAACAAACCTTCTACAATCGTCTGTTTTTAACTCTTATTACAACGAAACTTAAAAAATAATGCAATATTCATTCTCAAATATAAATTAATCACTAATATTTAAACCAAACAGTCTTTCATATTGTTACTTATCTGCTTGTTTCCGGTCGAAATTCTTTCCGAGGATCTACAGCGATACAAGTCCTTTCTTGATTAAACCAGTTATTCTTCCTCGATACAAACTTTTAATACACAGAAGTTCCACGATCAGTACGTTTCTTGTCACTTTAAACTTAACAATTTTTATAATGCACGCCATAAATCATAGCGATTCACAATCTCGATACTTCGCTCTTGAAGAGTGCAAAACACACACTTTACGGTTCACTAGCTCGAAACAGAATCATACTTTACACGGAACTCAAAGTAACTACTGCTCTCTCTTCATTCATCTCTCTCCTGGCTTTGACTTCCAGGCTTATATGCTAACGAAGAGGGCACCTCGAACACACTCGGACTTCCCCGATAATTCGAGAAACTCATCACGCATGCTACCAGCGCCAACGCGCCAGCTGAGTCACGTGACTTCCGCTGTCGTAACAATATCATGACACTAAACTTTATAATAATTTCTACTCTGCTCTTCATAATTATTGAATAACTATGAAACATTCATGTATCTAGCACCGTAACTTAGCATAGTGGAAGAAAGTTTAGTAAATTAGACGCATATGCCATATTTGCATTATATTTTATGCCCGATTATTCACCCGGGAGGCTCAGCGATAAGCTTGAGGGCTTATAACACTAAAATTTTGGATTCAATCTTTGTGGTACCACAACGCAGATAACGTATTGTGTAGTTTTGCACTTCAAACAAATTAATCCTTCTTTGCCACTATATTAATAAAAAATGTAATTAAAAACCTATAGCTATTGATGAAAGTCTATTCATAACAAAATAATCTAGTTTAAAATATTTCAAAAGTGTAATTATAATCTAGTGTTAAAATCGGGCCAGACTAGGGTAATTTGTTTAACTAATCACAGTTCACAAGGGCAAGAAATAAGACTCAGTTTTCTTGGGAAACATTAGTAGCTTAGCATATATATATATATATATATATATTGTTAAATCATCATGTCAGCTGAAAATTGGTGTGCATGGTGAGGATAGAAAAAAGAAACGTTCCACTCTTTAAAAGTAAACCAAATGTTATGTGAAATCAATATTTTCACGATAGATATAATTTTTTAGTAAATAAAGCTACGAACTGGGATAATGTTGTGATAAATGATGATAAAGCGTACTGTTATTTTTCGCACATTGAGGTTATACTGGTTTTATTACTCTTCTGATGCAAAAATATTAGTAAATATCTATAGTTTTCTAACATTCTATGTCGATATATAAAAGTCGTAACAAAAAATACTTCCGATTTATTTGGGAAACAACACATAAAAAATATGGCGCACAAAATTTAGCACAAGCGTTTCAATTAAAAAATGATCTGTTGGGTTTTACTTCTAGCTGTAGGCCCTTGGCCAGCGAAACAAATTAGTGCATTATATTTGTATATTTGAGCAAGAGGAATATCACGTGGAACATCGCAATAACTGTTGGGTTTTACTTCTAGCCGTAGGCCCATGGCCAGGTGGTTAGGGAGCTCTGTTGGGTTTTACTTCTAGCTGCAGGCCCTTGGCCAGCGAAACAAATGAGTGCATTATATTTGTATATTTGAGCAGGAGGAATATCACGTGGAACATAGCAATAACTGTTGAGTTTTACTTCTAGCCGTAGGCCCATGGCCAGGTGGTTAGGGAGCTCGCCTCGCAATCTGCGGGTCGCCGGTTCGAATCCCCGTCACACCAAATATGCTCGCCCTTTCAGCCGTGGGACATTATAATGTGACGGTAAATCCCACTATTCGTTGGTAAAAGAGTATCCCAAGATTTGCAGTGGGTGGTGATGACTAGCTGCCTTCCCTCTAGTCTTACATTACTAAATAAGGGACGGTTAGCGTAGATAGCCCTCGTGTAGCTTTGCGCGAAATCCATAACAAACAAACAAACTTCTAGTCGTGTACGTGTTGAAAACCCTTTTGGGTAAATCTACATTGTTTGTTTGTAGTTAAGCTCAAAGATACACAATGGACTATCTGTTTCTCTCCACCACGGGTATCGAAACCCGGTTTATAGCGTTATAAGTCCACAGACATACCGCTGTGCCACTGGGGGACAAACCTACATTGTAAAAAAGAAAGAAACATTCACACACATTTACTTACATCTATGTACACCCCCAGAAGGTTGTATATTTGAGCAGGAGGAATATCACGTGGAACATAGCGATAGAACTCGGTTTCATTTTTGTACCATTTCACAGCATACAGTACGTCATTTTCTAAATCGTACGTACAGTTAAGCCATGTTGGCTTGCCACTTATCACCACTTTGGGCACTTGTAGACTGACAAGCTGAAGGCATTGAATTTCTGAAACAAACACATAAAAATTAGTTCAGGTAAGTTAAGTGTACCTGTTACTAAATTAAACCATACAAATATTCAATAAATATTTGAAGCGATGTAAAATAATTTATAGCAGAAAACAAGGTTAGATACAAAAAGAAAACTAGCCAGGCAACAAATACGAAAAGGCTTTAACTATGAAAACCGCAAACAGTTACAACAACATCAAGACGAAAGTTACTTCGTTAGTTGATTAAAAAATGTTCAATAACATTTCCATCTGTTTAGATCATGAATTTAATTGTGCTTGATCAATAACAGTTAACTTGTCTCATTCTAGCTAAATAGAAGTAAGAAAAAATTATATTCTGTGTAGACTTTCACTTGAATACAGCAAAAGAAAACACAAATAAAAATACAGATACACCACGCCAATATTCAGACAATTAGCATTTACCATTGTCTTGTTGAAAACTGTATCACGCTGTAAGTAATATTGAATAAGACCCCCCCCCCCACATACGTATGTGAGTGTGTATGTATATATATATGATACAATCTTTATAGAACGTTACAATTAGATTTTTTAATACTTAGGGTAGTATAGGTTAAGGTTTATTAGCAACTCTACATGTAGATAGTTGATGAACTATTTTTGTTTTTATTCACTTGCCTAATGCTAACCAGACTTGCACCGACATGTGGACATAGTACTTGACTTTCCCAGGATAGGTTTAGTTTCGTTACTGTGCTAGAAAAATAAATAAATCTGAGAAAAAGTCAAATAAACGGTCTTGTCAATATGTCAGTAATTTTGGACACTTGTCTCCCCTTTCAACGTGACTAGGTTATAAGGTTAGTTTCAAGATTTTTGGACAACTGTTTAGAAATTACAAACTTCGTTCATGTCTTTCTGTTTGTTTGTAATTTGAGCACAAAGCTACACAATGGGCTATCTGTGATTTGCCCACCACGGCTATCGAAACCCAGTTTCTAGCGCTGTAAGTCCGCAGACATACCGCTGTGTCACTGAGGGGCTTCTTGTATGCATCGAATGTATATGTTTTTGACTGTTTTCGGAAGTGTCATGAAAAGTTCGCTAGTTATGAAACTGGTTAAACTATTTAAATATTCTTACAGATCGAATTAAACTCGTGTTTGTTTTAAGAGGAAAGTTACACAATGGGGTGTCTAATAGAGGGATCTAACCACGAGTTTTAGAGTTATAAGCCTTATAACTTATTGCTGTGTCATGGAGGAAAGCTAAAAATTATAATGTACATTATATTATAAAGTAGAAGTTGAGCTAAATGAAGTTAGATGTGTCCAATTAAGTCAGGTTAATTTGATTAAAATCCCAAAAGTGATGAAAATGGTATTGGTAATGCATTCAAAACGTGTAGGTCAAAATGAAGCCTAGTCTTAGAGTATATGAATAAATAAGTTTGTGGGTTGAAAAATATTTCAGGTTAGATGTATCCGAATAAGTCGCCCCCCCCTGTGGCACAGCGGTATGTCTGCGAACTTACAACACTAGAATCCGGGTTTCGATACCCGTGGTGGGCAGAGCACAGATAGCCCATGGTGTAGCTTTGTGCTTAATTACAAACAAACAAACCGAATAAGTCAGTTAAATTTGATTCAAATTCGCTATAAGAAAAACTTACTGATGCTTCTAAACAGTATATCTTCAAATGAGATTTAAGCTCGGAGTGTTTGAATTTTCGTGTGAATAACATTTTATTAAAACAAGTATAGAAGCATTTTAAAAGTGGATAATTTTTTCGAGATAAAATAGTTTTGACGATTGCATGGGAGGAATAAGTGCAAGAAGATTTGAATTTCAGATAAAACTGACATAATAACGACTTGTAACATGTAAGTATTACTTTCTTTACTCTTGGAATAAAATGTTTTAAGCTTTTTATTGTAAATGCAAGACTTTTTTTTGCAACAGTAAAGTGTGTGTCGCTAACTCTCCAAGGTTAATTATATGTTATGTCGGGGTTGGTGGTTATGCAGCTCGACTCGTTCTTTGCGGGATGCGAGCTCGAATCTCGTTACAGAACATACTTGCCCTTTTAGTCGTGGGGGCGTTATAAGGTAACGGCCAATCCCACTTTTCTTTGGTGAAAAGGTAGCCCAATTACGACGGGTGTTGTTGACTAGCTGTCTTCCTTATAGTCTATCACTTCAATTAGAGACGGCTAAGGTAGATTGCCCTCGAGTAGATTTGAGCGAAATTCAATACACAAACGTTCCTCATTTAATCTAATCTTCAATTTCTGTACCTACTCAGCCATGACGTTTTATGTCTCTTCCTATGATCCGCATGCTCCTCGGTAACTATTGCAAAACCCAACTTTATCCACTGGGAATCCTCTCCTGGGTCTGTGCCTTCATCTGGCAGGGCTTAGAACATGTTCTTAACTGCTATTGAGAAATTGGTCTGAAAATTCCGAGGTGTCAAAACTTCTAGTTACTTCTCCTTTGGGTTTGTAGAATTTAACTAAGAAGACATGAATCGTTCTCTGCGCTTCTGTGGCTTGTGATTTTTACATATAATTGGTAAATGAATGTCGTAATAATTTTTTTTCCCACCCGGTGCTCTCCGTGTAACGACCCAGCTCTTTTTGTGTTTGTCTAAATTGCGATTTTGTTAGCCATAACTCATAATCCTTGTAGAATTATTGTAGCCTCTTGTCATCACATAAGAAAGATAACGAAGAGTAATGCGGGAAGGGTAAGGTAACTAAATGTACCTGGCAACATTTTCACAAGAATCCCGCTGTAAAGAATAACGGGCATCATGGAGAAGGAAATGCAAGATAAACATTGGGGTTCAGAGCAGTGAGAGGATGTAGCAACCAGATTTTCATAATCAGATAGATGACAGAAAGGAATATGAATTAGCACAATATCAGTGAATATTCTATGACTTGACAAAAGGACCAGCTGAGGCTGTATAACCTATTGCAGATTTGTACCGAAGAACTAGAACATGTGCTGTGAAGGTGAAAGAAGGAAAGATATCAGACTGGCATAAGGCAAGGGTTATCGTGTCGCCTTCTATATTGACCATTGTTCTATATTAAGTGCTACGAGTGGTGGGCAAAGAAGTCCAAGAAAAAGAAGGCGTAAGAGTAGAAGAGACCATGATCTGAGATCTAGAGTATGCAGACGATGTGGCATTTTTTGCAGCATCCATCATTGTGCAAGCCGTTCTCCCTGCTGAGTTCATCATTGAATGGAAAGATTATGAAAGTTGAGAGTTTTGTATGTTTGGGAAGTGAAGTAGAAGACAAAGGTGGCAGCAAGAAAGTTGTAAGACAGCGGTTGGTACTAGCAGGAGTAACGTTTAATAACTTGTGTATGGTACTTTCAAAGCGAAGTGTAAAGACCCACGATCATAGTGTATAATGCTTCAGTGGCGCTTATTATTTTTTTGGCAGAAAGTTGTTCATAGAAACAACAGCAAGAACAGAGATTGAACGGTTTTGATGGTAGGTGTCTAAGACATATTTTAGGGATGAGTTGGCAAGAGATAATGACGAAGGAGAAGATAGAAATGACTTGAAATGGACAAAGAAGATTGAGTGAACTGGCTTAATGTATTGGTGAGCTAGGACTTTTGCCTACATCTTTAACTTTTTAGTTTTTGATAACACCATTTTGAGTATACTAAGAACCCTCTAACAACAGTATACTAAGACTCTTGACTACCCCTCGAATTATTCTTGTAGGTGTCTAAGATATATTTTAGGGATAAGTTGGCAAGAGATGATGACGAAGGAGGAGATAAAGAATGACTGGAAATGAACAAATGAGATTGAGTGAACTGGCTTGATATATTGATGAGCTAGGACTTTTGCCTACATCTCTAGCTTTTGAGTTTTTGATAACACCATTTTGAGTATACCAAGAACCCCTAACAACAGTGTGGTAACTCTTGACTACTCCTCGAATTGTTCTTGCATTTCTTAAAAACTTCCCATGGAAGGTGTGATAGGGCTCTTGCTTGTCCCTCTAACTGATACTGAGTTTCCTGAGAAACCCCTATTTACAGTGTGCTAGAACTCCTTACTGACCTTAGAATTATTCTTGAGTTTCTCAAGAACTTTCTATTTACGGTATGCTAGGGACCCTTACCCTATTCATTCTCATTTTTAGTCAATGAAATACAATATTCCCTAAAAGGCTTTTATTATAGACTTTCTTAGAAATTCTTATCATGATTCTTCTTTTGCTCGCTGAAGAACTGTCACCAATTTAAGATGTTTGAGCTATTTTATATTCATTGTGTTCTAACTTATGACTTCAAAAGAAGTATTCAATCTGCTGTAGAGTTATTAAACCGAAATCAACCTGTAAGCGACCTGGCGATCATTACGAAGTCTAGATATAAATGTTGGGAGAATAAATTAAAAAGCATTTTAAGTTATTGAAAGGAAACACTGTAAAAGAATTGTCAATGGGGGAATCATGTAATAAAAAATAACGTATTATGTTAATGTAGGACAACCAGTAAAGTTTTTGCTATGAGAAACAGAAAAGTTAAACATGTGTATCCTTATCATGTTGTGAATAACAAGACTTCCAGAAGCTGAGTATCAACAATGTTTTTGTTTGCAACAATGTAATATTCGTGATCCCTGCACTTTAAATGTAGGTTGGATCTTGATAAATTCCTCGTATTCACATAGTCTAAACTGATCCTTCGTGTGCTTCATGTATTGTTGCCATTAATCCTAGTGTTCAGTTAATGAGTCTGTAAATATCCTTTGTATTCACTTATTTTCGAAACAAAACATGTAAGTTGTGTTTAATTTAACTATCAAAACACAACATGAAGCACTTGATGGTCGTTAGTAATCTCTAACTTATGACAAGTTACAGAACGTGTGTGTGTGTTTAAATTAATAATTTAATTAAGGTCGTCTAACAATTCCAAATTGTTATAGATTCACAAATGCAAACTTGCTATATTATTTCCAAGTTATTAATATAAGCTAATTGTATATAAAGGATGATTATTAAGCG